TTCCTGCCATGGCAGGGGGTCGGACTAGATGATCTGCCCAGGTCCCTTCCGACCCTAGAAACTATGAAACTATGTGTTACTTGTTTTGCAGGGAGTGGGAAGCAGTAGATCATAATACTCCAGAGGCCAGTTTACCACCCAGACTACTTTGCTTTCATGGTGTATCCTACTTTCTTTGGCCCTGGTCCTTCTCACCATAGGCCCCAGTTCAACAAGGCAGGGTCTTAGATTGTAAAGTGTTGAAAGCAGAGGCTCTTTCTTACTATTTGTACAGCACCTAATAGTGTGATGCTGTAATCCTGTGGGGGAGCCCTAGGCACTGCCTGAATACAACTAATATGCTACAAGAGATTTTAGCATTTACCTGATCCTCCACAAATTCTTTGTCTCTGATCTTAAAACTTTGAATCGTGATCTAAAGTAAATTTCTTGTGAAACGGTTTCATATGGGAGTGTATGAAAGTGCACAACAATCTTTTTCAGCTAAGGATCTTCAGAACCATACTTGAAGAATAATTGTACTTGGATCAGGAGTATCTTAGGCAAGATGCATGCGTGTGTTGGAGATGTGGGTTTCTTACATTAATCTCATAAGTAGATGGAATACGCAAATAACAGTACATTCAGTGTGCATGCATGTGTGTATACATACCATTAGCCCTGAAATTAAATACAAGGAAAGGTTTATGAGAATTGAGCTGGTGAGAATGCAGTAGCCTGACATGAAGGCTAGACTGTTTTCAGCAGTGGCAGATGACAGGATGAAGAACAATGGTCTCAAATTGCAGCAAGAGAAGTTTAGGTTGGCTATTTCAAAAAAAACTTTCTCGCAAGGAGGGTAGTAAAACACTGGAACAGGTTACCCAGAAAGCTTGTGGACTCTCCATCCTTGGAGGTTTTTAAGACCCAGCTAGACAGCCTTGGCTGGGATGATGTAGTTGGAGATGGTCCTGCCTTGAGCAGGGGGTTGGATAAACTGAGGTCCTTCCCAGCCCTAATGATCTATGCTTCTATGAAATAACAAGAAATCAGCAAAGCAAAGCAACTCCCCATTGCCACAAGGAGAAAACACAAGACAAACCACTAAAGGTACCAGTTTCTTATTTGGACTCAGGCCTCTACCTCTGGCAGTCTACATAGACCTTAAATCAGAGTAAAATTGATGCTACACTTTATAATGTCCTTTAACACTGGCCAAGCCTCTGAGAATCAGGCTCTTTAACAAGGTAAATAATGGCACACACAGTCATTAGACTGTCTCCCAAGCATTTGAGGAAAGTGGATCTCCCCTTTGACTCAGCTTGCAATAAAGCTTTTCTGTCACAAAATAGGATTTAATTTTTCATTTGTAAAACTGTGCCAGAACATTTGTAAAGCTGCGCTGTGTAGCCAGTGAAAATGCTTTTTTATCTCTTCCCCGCCCCCCCTTGGAAACAGCAGGTGCTTGGAGAACATTTTTTTTTCTTTCTGCCCACAGTAATTAGCAAAATGTTATCCATGGTCTTCCAAAACCCAGAGTCTTGCTGCAGATGTTGCACTGCTTTCCTCAGGGCACTTATATTCCTCACAGGCTTGGGCACTATGGTAAATGCAATTCCAGATCTCTTTAATATAATTTCAGAGCAGAGATTATGGTTGGACACTAAAATCCTGATGCTACTGTTTGTTACATTACTGGTCCGTGAAAGGCTTTGTGCATGAGGGATTTATGGAGGAATTCCTTCCTGTGACTTTCCACAGCTTCAGGAGCAGACAGAAGGGGGTTAGGGGAGGTGGAGCAG